TATAACTATGTGTACTTACTATCGTTGTTACCGCGCACAAGCTTCCCGATTCGACGACCTTCTCTCTATCTATCTATCTATCTCTCTCTCTCTCTTTCTATTTCTATTTCTATTTCTATTCGTCTATCTCTTATTCTGTTTCTGTCAGATACCCCCCCCCCCGTTGTATTCTCTTCTTCTGTCTCTTTCTATCTTTCTCTTTTGTCAAACGCCCACGCCCCCCGGACCCCCCCCCCTTTTGTCGCCATGGAAAATTATTTAACGCCGCAAGAATCGAATTTATTTTCTTGATTGTGTCCCTTAAGTAGGGCTATGAAATAAAATTAAAAAAAAAAAGTAAGAGAGAAAAGAACTTTTTGTTAAAAAATTATTCCTGGATGTAGAAGAGAAATAAAAAAAAAAGGAAAAAAGAAAAAGAATTTGCGAGTAATAAAAGAAAAAAAAATATTAAAAAAGAAACTACTGCACCCCGGGGAGCGTATTTGTCGTCGCGTGTTTTTTTTTTTCTCGGAAGTTATTTGTTTCTTTTTTGTTGCTATCCTTTTTTTTTTGTCATCCGGACATATTGAAATGAAATGAACCGGCCACACGAGTAATAATTATTGTAAAGATTGAAAATTATTATCACGTTAAACGAAAGCTAATTAAAGAGAAAAAAATAATATAAAATATAAAATCAAATCAAATCAAATCAAATGACAAATACAAAGAAAAATAGAAATAGAAATAGAAAAAAAAAAAAAAGAAAAGCGGAAGCAAAAGATGAAGAAGGAAAAAATGATAATGATGATGATGATGATGATGATGATGATGAAGAAATATATAATCGCGAAACTTGTGCGCGCGTTTCAACCAACCAACAACACTATTACATTGAATCCTATTTATACTTCGCTGACTACTGACTGGACTCTGTCTGTTCTCTGTGTAGATGGTCACGCCTGACGCTCTCTTTACCCTGTTTGGTACGTCTCCACATTTATATTATTAATTATATTACATTATTAATTATTATATTTACACACACACATACACACAAACACACGACAAAAAAAAAGAGACACGTTTATTATTAACACTTAAACGTAAAATAAAACACGTATTATAACGGAGGATGGATGGATGGATGAGATTTGTCGGACACACACGAGAAATATTACTTTTGTTTTTTTTGTACTTTTTTTTTTTGTTGCCCTTCATTTTACACACTTATTTACTTACTTCTATTTTAATATTTATTATTATCACGTTGAAAAAAAAACAAATAAATTATACACATACGTACATTAATTTAAATATTTAGGACAAACAGTTATATACACGTACAACACGTATACATGAGACAATCCAACACTCACACTTTTCTCACTTTCGTGGTTTTTTTTTTCTCTCTCTCTCTCTCTCTCTCTCTATCTCTATCTCTCTATTTTCGTACATCTCCAAATTCCTTTCTCGATGATCTTTTCTATACATTTTATCTATCTGTAATCTGTTGATATCTATCGATTTCAATGTTTCAAATTTAAATACACGCATACTCGCGCAAAATACTGCGACAACAACAAACATTGACACAACAGACTTTGGAAAAAAGTAAAAAGAGAAAATTTCGTTAATTTGAAAATTGAAATAATGAATAAAATCAAATTGTTATTTTTAATAATAATAATAATTAATAGTTTTCACGCGTGTCTCGATCGTATGGTGTATTTGAAATAATTACAAATCACAAATATCCCATTTATACCTAGATATTTTTTCTTTTCACTTTTTTCTTAACTTACACTTTTATTCACACTAAGTTTCTTATTATTATATTTTCATATTATGTTTTGTTTAATTATTACATTTAATCTATCCGCCGTTCCTCTTTATTATTACATTCGTACGTTTTATGTGTGTTTTATATTTCCTTTTCTTTCTATCTTTCTTTCTTTCTTACTTTCTTTCTTCCTTTCTATATATAACGTTTATTTTTTTTTTTATTTTTTAAATTATTTATCTACTCGTTTATCAAATTTATCTTAAACAAAAAGTAAGCACATTACTGATTGTTATATAAAACATTTCTATTCTCTTAAAAAATATTATCGTATTTTCATTATTTAATCTTTCGTATAATTTTCAAATATATATTTTTTATTACAACATTTTTGTACAAAATATATATTTTATTATATATACAATTTATTTCATTCTTTATTCATTACCATCATAACCATTCATCCAATGTTCACAATTTTCAAACTTATTCACAGGCCGATTATTTTTACGTTTTCTCTCTCTCTCTATCTCACTCTCTGTTTCTCTCTTTCTCTCACTCTCTATTTTTCTCTCATTCTATCTATCTGTATCTCTCAATCTATAATCATCTTCACTATTTTACAAAGTAATCTCTCTTTTCTAAAATGTTTTTCCGCATTCAATATTTTATTATTAATACCATCAATTATCCATATACACAGAAAACCAACAACCACCCTCTCTCTCTCTTTTAATATTTACATAAGCTTTCGCTTTATTTACGTAATTCCATATAGAAAATAAAATCAAATAAAATCAAATCAAATAAAATAAAAT